TTGTATTTTATACGATTTGTTCATAACTGCAAATAAAAGGACAATTCTGCCCCTATAAGGTGGCAGCAAATGAAGAGAAAATAAAGATGGCCCCACAGGCCTACTACATAATCAACCCAACCAAAAGAAGAAATAAATGAAAGCCCACTATGCAGGGGTAAGGTTGCATCCATCTATCCCTCTCCAGACCCCGAATTAGTGGGAGCCTCATGCACTGGGCTGCCCTTTAGAGAGACACAGCATAAACACTTGGAGGTAAAACCGAAAAATCCAAAAAACCCAACAATTGAGAGTGTGTAGTATTGAGGTAAAACCAAAAGAACCCAACAATTTTCAAAATCAGTAAAGAAAAGGAACCAGACATCTTCAATAACAATATCATAGCTAGACCAGAAGTTTGAAGTTCAATCCAAAACTGATCTCTCCATGTCTTCAAACTCTGGGTGAGCCATCACCCACTGTACAATAAGGTTTTCCATGTCAGCATATAATCTCTTGCAGATTTGTTTGTGTTAGGACATATTGAATTCCAACACTCCATGGATTCTTGATGGACACTTCAACATAAAATCTTCCTTCATGTACTTGCTTATCTGATCTAAATGTTCGTCTAATATACACAATGAATGGCATTTGTGTTCTAAAAACCATTGTTAAGATGGTTTGGTCATGTGCATAGAAGACCATCAACAATACCCATAAGAAGTGATTTGTTGCAAGTTGAAGGGGTTAGAAGGGCTAGGGGTAGACCAAAAAGACATGAGTAGAAGTAGTAAGAAATGATTTAAATGCCAATAATTTAGCCATGGATATGGCATTAAATAGAATGGAATGGAAAAACAGGATTCATGTAGCCAACCCCATATAGTTGGGATTAGGCGTGGGTGATGATGATGATACCTATATACTCTCTCCTTGAACACAAACAAGACTGTTTCTCAATGTGTGTCATAACTCAGGACTTGGGTTGAGGAAGAGGCTTGAGATAGGTTGAGACAGCCCTAGTTCGAGACCCCAACACATTCTTAGAGGATGCTTACCATGATGTGTCTATACTTGAGATTTGGAGTTTGGGCTTTATGCTCTAATGGCCTCTTTTCTTATGCATCTTTTTCAGCCATCTTATCTCCTTCCTCTTCTTCCTATAGGGTTATTTTGGCTAAAGCTATTTGCAATATACCACCTACCTATGTTTATTACACTTCATTGGAAGGTTATATGTCAGAGGATTAGTTTTTTGGTGTTTTTTTCTTTGGCCTTTTTAAATATGGGTAAATACCTCAAGGGGCATGGATTTTTTTTTTGAGGAATCCTTCTCTCCCATCCAAAAGAAGAGAGAAAATCTTGAACAGATGCACAACAGATGCTTTCCTTTGGTCTGTGTGGGAGGAAAAGAATGCAAGAATTTTTAGAGAAGAGACGCATACTCAAGTAACTTTGATTGAGAACATCATAATGAAGATGACTCATTGGGTTAAATTGATGCTTATATTTAACTCTTTCTCAGTGGAATATATCATAGATCCATAGGGGGTGACAATATATTGCCTCTTTGTCAAGAATCATTATCCCTCTTGGTCTCAACTCAACCATTTACTTTACTAACTTTGTAAAACTGAATTTGGAAGCAGCAGAAAACTGCTGGATCAAAGAATCTATAAAGAAAAGAGATATTTCTTGAAGAAGAAGAGAAAGAGAAAGAAGAAATTGAGAAAGAAAAAGAGAGCAATCAATTCTGGCCATCCTCCTCACTAGTATTTATACTTTTAATAAAAAAGGGTACAATGACTAATATGCCCTTATAGGCGGCTAACACATAAAACTGCATATATAACTTAAAAGAACCACTGAAAAGGGACCCAACAAGAGTGTTGTGGTCCCCACTTCCTATGTACGAGTGAAGGTGTTCAGATCAGACAACGCCAAGGAATGTTTTGAAAAGAACCTTGCTTCGTATCTGTTAGAGTATGGAGTTATCCATCAGAGCAGTTGTTCTTACAGTCCACAGCAGAATGGTGTTGCAAAGAGGAAGAACAAACACATTGTTGAGATCGCAAGAAGCATGATCACATCTACTGTTCCAGTTCGGTTTTAGGGTGATGCAGTTCTCACAACAGTCTTCCTGATTAATAGGGTGCCCTCTCGTATACTTGGATTCAGCACCCATTTAGCCTCCTTTTTCCTGAGGGGGAGATGTTCCACATTCCTCTCAGGGTATTTGGCTGTGTTTTCTTTGCACATGTTCTTGGTCCTCATTGCTCAAAGCTCGATCCAAAGACAAAGAAGTGTTTTTTTCTTGGGTATGCAGAAAATCAGAAAGGGTACTGTTGCTATGATCCAGTCTCTGGGAGTTGGTATGTTACTATGGATGTTACCTTTTTTGAGCCCACATCCTTTTTATCAAATGATCCTTCTCAGGGGGAGTGTTTTGGGGAAGTGAGTGAGTAGTCTATTCCTCTTCCAGTTCTAGTTCCTGTGTCCACTCCTGTTATGATCCTCCTATGTCACCTATCTTACCACCTCCCTTGTGTCCTGCTTCTCAATGTTATTCATGGCAGCAACTTCACAGGGAGGTTGATTCCACTGCAAAAGAACTCACACCACTTCCTATCGGTTCCTTAGAGACTCCAGATTTAGCTGACATGGATTCAGGTATTCCTCTTGATCCCTCTAATGTTTCAGTTCCTATTAATTCTACTAATCCCATTACAGATGACCTGGACCTTCCTATTGCACTTAGAAAAGGGAAGAGAAAGTGTACTGGTCATTGTATTTCACAGTACCTATCCTATAGTGGACTTTCTCCTTCCTATCGTGCTTTCCTTTCTTCTTTTGACTTTGTGTCTATACCCAAGGGTGTCAGTGAGGCTCTCTCCGAACTTGAGTGGAAGACAGCTATGCAGGAAGAGATGGAAGCCTTAATTAAGAATCAGAAATGGGAAATTGTGGATCTACTAGAGGGCAAGGAGACTGTTGGATGCAGATGGGTTTATACAGTTAAATACAAGGCAGATGGAAGTATAGAAAGGTATAAGGCCAGACTGGTTGCAAAATGGTACACCCAAACCTATGGCATTGGTTACTTAGAGACCTTTGCACCAGTTGCAAAGATGACTTCTGTTCGGATCTTTCTCTCTCTTGTTGCCACATACTCTTGGCCCCTGTTTCAACTTGATGTAAAAAATACTTTTCTGAATGGAGATTCGCAAGAATTGTATATGGATCTTCTTGCTGGTTTCTACAGTGATGTTGAAAAGGGGAAGGTATGCAAACTGAAGAAGTCACTTTATGGTTTAAAACAGTCTCCCAGAGCATGGTTTGACAAGTTCAGGAAGGCCTTGATTGCTTTTGGCTACACTCAGACTCAATCAGACCATACTTTGTAAAGTGGAGGGGGTCCTTGGTGTCCGTCCTGATTGTTTATGTGGATGATATTGTTGTCACAGGAAATGATGTAAGTGAGATTGACAGTTTGAAGAAGAATCGACACAAAGAATTTGAAATTAAGGATCTTGGGGAGCTGAGGTACTTCTTGGGCATTGAGGTTGCAAGATCAAAACATGGACTGATTGTTCATGTGGATGATATTGTTGTCGTAGGAAATGACCTAAGTGAGATTGACAGTTTGAAGAAGAATCGACACAGAGAATTTGAAATTAAGGATCTTGGGGAGCTGAGGTACTTCTTGGGCATTGAGGTTGCAAGATCAAAACATGGAATTTTTATTTCTCCGAGGAAGTATGTTCTAGACCTTTTACAAGAAGGGAAGCTTGGAGAAAAGGCTGCTAGTACTCCTATTGATCAGAATCACATAATTAATGCATCAGAAGGTGAGCTGGTAAAGGACATTGGGAGATATCAGAGACTTGTGGGGCGATTGCTATATTTATGTATGACAAGACCAGATATCTCCTATGTAGTGAGTGTGGTGAGTCAGTACATGCATGCCCCACGAGTCCAGCATTGGGAGGCTACTGACAGGATTCTTGCTTATTTGAAGGGACACCCAGGCAGAGGTATACTATTTGCTGACGATGGACAGTTGAAGCTAGAGGCTTATACAGATGCTGATTGGGCAAGATGCCTTGATGACAGGAGATCTACATCAGGAGTCTGCACTCTTGTTGGGGGTAATCTAGTCTCGTGGAAAAGTAAGAAATAAACAGTTGTGGCAAGATCAAGTGCAGAAGCTGAATACAGAGCCATGGCACATGGAGTTTCAGAGCTTCTCTGGATGCGCTCCTTGTTAGGAGAGATTGGTGTTGAGGCAGAAGAGCCTATGATGCTATACTATGATAATCAGACAGCAATTGACATTGCCCACAACCCAGTTCAGCATGACAGGACAAAGCACATTGAAGTGGATAGACATTTCATAAGAGAAAGGGTGACTTCAGGGGAAGTTTGTCTTCCATGCATTGCTTCTTATTTGCAGCTTGTTGATGTTCTCACAAAAGGTGTTGCAAGGAACAAGCTGGAGCATGATCTACCTAAGTTGGGAGTGTGTGACATTTACTCCCAACTTGAGTGGGAGTGTTGAGTTGGGCCGATTTCAAGTTATTGGGCCTAGTCATTTATTTTTTATTTTTAAGTTGTTAAGTTAGGAAGTTATTGGGCTTTAGGCCCATTAGTTTATGTTTTTAAGTTGTGACTGTTCAGCTACATAACGTAGCCGCCCTACTAAGGGCATTCTTGTAATCTTTCATTATTTTATTTTAAGTATATAAATCAAAGAGGGGTTGGCAGCCAGATCTATTCAATTTTGGCGACATCCCACTCTCTTTTCTTCTCCTCTCTTCTTCTCTACTGCTGAAACCTTTCAACTTCTTCTACTTATCTTCGCAAGGCATTCATCTAAAACTGTTATCAGCAAATTCTACTATAAGTTTATCATTTTTTGTTAATCTTTAGATTGATTAAACTATGTTAAGCTAGGTGCTTTGTCTTCAACAATAATTTACTGAAAAGATATGATTGATAAATTTTGATTATTATATCAGGATGTGAAGGGCCCACAGACTGTTGCTTTTAATTTGCCAAATGATGAGCGCATAGTCAAAGACCGTGGAACATCAATGGTTATGCTCAAGAATATTTCAGAGGCAAAGTATGTTAATTTTTTTTCTTTCATGTTATTACCATCACTTATTTTCTGAATAAATGACTAGTTTATGCAATTATTTTGGAGTTTCAATAAATTCTGAAATTTCTGAGTTGCCTATCCTAATCAGGTTCAAGCATATTCTTCAACCTATAGCTGGTGTTTGTGTTATAGAGGAACAGAGGAAACATGTTAATTTTGAATCTTTCTTCACCCATACAATTTGCCACGAGTGTTGCCATGGCATTGGACCTCATACAATAGTACTCCCAAATGGACAAGAGTCAACAGTGAGATTGGTAATAACATTTTCTGCTTGTTAAATCTTTAGTTGACAGCAACTCTTTCAACTGTTATAACTCCTGATTTCTTTTAGAAATGCATCTTGCATCACATTTGCTTTGTTAATTTATATTAAATAAATTATTGCATGCAGCACATTTAGTTTCAAAAATGAAAACAAGTTTAAAATTTTGCCATATTAAATAGAAAACATTTAGTTGGGAAAATAACTATTCTATTTTTCATGAAAGGAAATTTCTTGTTACATGAAACCATGAAAGCATTGACCATAACCACATTACAATTTGATAGTATGGAAAAATGAGTTTTCCAAGGCAGGTTTGTACTTCTTAAGGAATACATTCTTGAGGTGTTTGCTGAATTAACTGAAAGAAGTTTGATCTTTCTTATGGTGAAAGAAGTTTAATTTCTCCTAACACTCATTGACTATTATGATTTTATCAATGATTTGTCTCCCATTGATAAAAGGCCCCCTTAGAATGGTGTTGTTTCAAAAGTAAGGATCTCCTTTAATCTTAGTAAGAGAACTTTGGTAATGATTTTATACAAACTACCCACTATGTTGATTGACCTAAGATTCTCTTGGGTAGCTTGCTTCAGGCCATTTCAACATCAATGCTAGGAATGTGGCATTTTCGCCTCGATTAATGGTTCCTCATAAAATTCTCTGAAAACTTACAAAAGACCCTCTTTAAAATCTCCCAATAATCTTGATATAATGCTATTGAGAATCCATTCGGCCCAGGTGCTTTAAATCTCTCCATTGAAAATACTTCCTTTCTTATTCCTTCAATGTCCAATTGTTTCTCCAAAGCTAAGTTTTTAATCACTACTTATGTTCGGCCAATTCAATCCTACTTTTGTTTTCATAGGAGATGTGTGACAATAGATTCCTTTAAAGTGGTCTACAAAACCATCGCTATTATCTTCTGGATCTGTTATCTTACCCCCATTTACCGGTAGCCTAGGTCATAGTTTTCAAGGCGCCAAGGCGAGGCTAGGTGACAAGGCATCCCCCCTTGTCGCCTAGTCGATCGCCTAGTTGACTAGGCAATGGATTTTTTTAAGTAAAAAACATATATCATAGAGTAGTTCCCTAGGATACATAACCATATTTCCTTGATAATTATCCATAATTTTCATAAGAAAAGTATAAACTTCATGTTGAATTATAGAAAATCAACATATTCATGAGTAGAAAAATAAGAAAAGAAAAGAAAAAAATATAGGGATCTGAACCCTATTTTTGTAATAGGAAAATGTGTTGATTAGACAAAATTCAAAGCTTTTAAGTTCAAAAATGTGTTGGTTAGACAAATTTTAATTTTTCCTTACTTATTGGTTCAGGTTTTGAAGTCTTTGAGGGTTCAGTACAGCATTTAGCAATGTCTGTGTTGATTAAACCCTAACAAATAAGAAAATAATAAAAAGAAATTAGTATATAAACACAAAATAAATATTTCAGTTTAATAAAGTCTTTTATAGTTATAATCTCAAAAATTAAGAATATAGAAGTATTTTATAAGACAATGTACAAAACTGCTTGGTGATTAGGTGAGGCGAGCCCCCAAGGGTGCCTTGTTTCCTAGGCACCCGCCTAGGCGTCGGCTTGACAACTATGGTCTAGATAGAATCTTTTTCTTGTTTTTTCCTACCATTTTCTAATGAGTGGACACATTTTGAGTTTCCATCCCCCTCTTTAGTCCACTTGCACTTTGAGTTTCCAAATAGCGGCATCCCTACTACCTATAGATGCCAAGAAATAATTGCTTCCAAGTTCTAGCTCAATCTTTGAATCATTGTATCCAACTACTTAATAGTCCACTACTGTTCAATACAATGAGAAGTAGATGAGGTATAATGGCACTTTCCTTTGCGAGCTGCAATAGGGAGGTCAAGGTCGTCTAGGGAAGGTTGAGGCTTAGTAGTGGAAGGTATGTCATCTGCAGTAGTATTAGTAGGTAAAGGAGCTGTAGTACTTGGATCTAGCATCACAGAGGACATTAGAACTGGCCTGGGCTGCTCATGACCAAAATCCACCTGCGTCCACTGCCTATGAGAAACCCTTAACTCCTTTCACTTTTGGCAATTCCTCTCACTACACTCCCTTTCAAAGACTGGAACAGGTAATGGGACTTCAGGAACATGATCACCCTCCTCACCACTCTCCCCTTGAGATGAAACCCTAGGATAATAAGGAACATCCTCAAAGAATAACATCCATAGACACAAACCTTAGACCTCTTGGAAATTCCCCTCACTACACTCCCTTTCAATGATTGGAACAAGTAATGAGACTTCAGGAACATGATCACCCTTCTCACCACTCTCCCCCTAAGATGAAACCCCGGGAAAGTAAGGAACATATTCAAAGAAAGTAATGAAATAAAGGAGAAAGCTCTAGATGAACTATTGTATCCAACTCCTTAATAGGCCACAATCAACTGCGTTCCATGATTTCTCCAAACCACCTAGTTGCCACTCACCATTCAGATCACCTTTAAGTTTTAACAAGACCCTTTTCCCTATTAAGATGTATGTCTCTGAAACTTTTATTGCTTTTGGTCTTTGGATTTTGTGGCCCCAAAACAATACTTTGTTATGAAGAACAAGAAAGGGGAAAGATATATTATGGTAAGAATACACAATGTTAAAATTTCAACATCTCATAGACCATTATGAGAAATGGATATTGTTTTGATCTATTACATTTCTAATTGTTTGGATGTAGGAACTTCAAGAACTCCACTCAGCTCTGGAAGAAGCAAAAGCAGATATTGTGGGACTTTGGGCACTTAAATTTTTTGTAAATCAGGTCAGTAACTTTTCATAAATGACATTTCAGAAAAACATTATTTTTCTGTTGAAGTTGTAATGGTCTATGCCTGTAATACTCCAGCTAGTGCAAATTGATAATAACTTTTAAAGGTGCATGTAAAAGAACGGACTTTTTTATGTAGCCATGACTCTATTCAGTGTGATGTCTTATTCTCTAGTTTTATTGGCATTTTATATTTAAGAATGATCATTTTTTCATCAATGAAAAGATGCATTTCTTTTGCTAGTACTTAGGTTAATGTTTAATCTGTTTCAGTCTCTATCTGTGGTTTTTGAAGTTTACTACTGTTTTCCTTTTGATTCTTGATACCTTACCATCAAAATGAGTAATGTTATAATTTAATTGATATCATGAAAAGTAGGTGATGGAGATCATGGTTTCTTTTGCAGTTTCTTAATGTACATTTAAACTTATGTTTATTTATTGAGTTGCCATCTACTTAACATTTGATATGTTTACCTATTATTTTCCTTCTCATGTTCTTGACATTCTTACAGACCTCATTCTAGTTATTTCACTTACTCAAATTCGATATTCTACTTTCACCATTCACCATATAATGTTCCTCAATTAGAGGAATGGGGCAATAATTTCATCCTAGGAGTTGAGGTTTTTGATGAAGTTCAGACAAGGGCTGGGCAATATACACAGCAGAACTTTTTTTTGTCAATCCTTCTCACTTTTCTCTAATAAAGTTGGCCTTATTCATAAACTAAAATAGGATTTTGGCCAGGGATAGCCTTTATTTGACTCCTACTCAATGTAAAACTAAGATTTAAACAAGTAAAGCCTACTTAAGAAAACTCAACTTTCAACTCCAAGGCTAACATCTACCGATTCTACTCCTTTAAACTAACCAATAAAATTCCAAGGAAATCTGAAATCTGGAAAATAACTCAATAAAAAAAGTAACAAGTTGGTAACAATAGAAGAACAAAAAAATTACATAAATACCAAGGGAAGGGGAGAAGTTAGGTTCCGAATTTCTACCACACCAACAGGAGCCATGAGTGGCAGTTGCACTGCTCTTTTTAGGCATTCTTTGGGAGGTTCCAATACTTATTGGCCCCGGGGATTTTCATGCCTTGCTGATTTTTTCTGCCTAGTTAATCGTGTTCTTACTGGGATTTCCTAGGTCTTGTTACTTTGTTCTTCCATTTATTATTGGCCGACTTTTGTTTCCAGATGGAATTTTCTTCTCCAACAAGTCTTCTTCCACCAAAGGATCCAAATTTTGAGTCCATAAAAGAAAGCCGATTCATCTTATTTCTGAAGAATATAGCAAAACAGTTTGAGATAGAAAGGGCAAGCATATTGCTGAAGTTAGATATATTTTAAAATGCACCAACTTTGTCATTTCCCTACTGATTGGTTCTAGGAAGGAAAAGTGAGGCATGATCCTAGTGAAGCTTGATGGAATATTAGTTATGTGCCGCAAGGGGCACTTTGGACTTTTCTTTCTTTTTTATATTGTATGGTCACCCTAATCTATAAATATAAAGTCTAGCGCCGCCAGCACAACTTTTTGGCTTTCAACGTTTTCTTCCCTTCCTCTTCTCTTCTCCTTCTTCTCTCTTCTTTTCTTCTTCTATCGTACTGAAATCATGGTATCAGAGCAGGATTGTGCTCTGTAATTTTTTTTCTTTGGTCAAAGCCATCCTTTATGCTTACTGGACTAAGAATGGAGAAAACAAATCTGTCCTGTACCTGAGAACTCTCTGGCTGCAACTTCCTCACTTGTTTCTGGGATGAAACTCAACTGTAGTGATTCCAGAGGCTGGTTGATGACTGTTTGGATCTTTCTAAGAGGTCAGTTGTTCCCTTTCTCTTCATTTTCTTATTCTTCTTGGACTGGAAAACCCAGAATCCTCTCAGACTGAGCAGGGACAGGATTTAGACCTTGTTTTCTTTTGGTTCTTGGTACTTGTTGTGAGGATTATTTAATTGTTATTTTATAGTTGCTTTTAGTGGGTTGTCAGCTTAAGATGCTGTCAGTTAGTTATTTTCTTTCTTTCTTATTAGTGTGTTTCTAGGGAGTGCCACCAGGGGCATACTTGTAATCTCCATTCTTTTTATATTAAGTTAATATAAATAATGAAGTGGCGGCAGCCAGAAGAGGTTTTTCTCTTTCTCTCAATCATATCTTCCTCTCTTCTCTTTCTCTATCTCCATGAATGATTACATGGTATCAGAGCAAGGTTCTGGGCTATAAAAGAATTTCGGTCTCTCGTATTTGAACCTGCTTCATCCTCTTTTCCTTCTTTGATTTCTTGGACGTGGAAGACAGAGAAACCCTAGAAGACTACTTGCGGCTCTTCCTTTGGGTTCTTCCTTGGTCGTAATATCAAGGAAACCCTAGTCAAAGAAGGGCGATGCAGAAAGAGACTCCCTTTCTTCTTTGTTCGATGCTGTGAAGTCAGTTTCTAGTTGGCACCCTCGTACAGGTGCTGGACAGGGTATGTGTTCTTGTTTTTTGTTTTTTGGCCAATGGTGTGAAGGCCTTATCTCTTGGTTCTATACATTTGTTTGGATTCTGGATTGTTAGACTGTATGGGCTGTAGTCAGACTGATAGTATACTATTCTAGCATTTGCCTTGGCTGGTGTTGGACTGATTACTAGGCTGTTTTAATGACTGAACCATCACTGAGTTGATTTCAGCAGTTTTTTTGTTTTCTTTTCCACATCCCAGAAGTAAATTTCTTGAGGGTTGGTATTCTGTTTGTGGCTGTTGTGTAGTTGTGTGGGATTTGGTTTGATTCAGCAGTACTCTATGGCAAACTATGATTCAACTTCATCGGGGGTTACACCGACCCACAGCACAGCTGGTATGGGAGGTGAAAACATGATGCTCCCATGCCCATTACCCCTTTAAATGGTCTAAACTACCTGGAGTGGGCTAAAAGTGTAAAACTTTATGTAACGCCAAGGGGAAAAGCTGGTCACATAAATGGAAGGGTGAAAGAACCCAAGAGTGAGACAGCTGAACATGATAGGTGGGACCAAGAAAACAGTATGGTGATGTCTTGGCTCCTTGCAGCCATGGAACCTGATGTGAAGAAGAACTTTATGTGGGCAGACACCGCTAGTGAGATCTGGGAACAGGCCAAAACTACTTATTCTAAGCAAAGGCATTATGCCAAGGTTTACCAGTTGCAAGCTGAATCCTCAACCTATAAACAGGGAAATCGTAGTTTGTCTTCCTATTATTCAGCCCTTACAGGAAGCTGGTTATTATCAGGCTATAGAGTGGAAACATGATGACAATGCTAAGGCCTACAGGAAGCTGGTTTCTTAGCAGCGTGTGTTTGCCTTCTTGTTGGGACTGAACCCTACCTATGAACCCTTGAGAGTGCAAATCTTAGGAAGCAAAGAGTTGTCATCGGTTCACGAGGTATACTCCCTTGTTCAATCGGAAGAAAGTAGGCGGAGTGTGATGGTTACAACCGAGGGGGAGCAACAAGTTGCTTTGGCTGCAATGAGTAATAACAACATGGGGAAGAAAAGTGACACCAAGAAGGCTGATGATAAAGACAAATTGTTTTGTACCCACTATCGGCGCTCACGGCATACACGTGACACATGTTGGGACATTCATGGGAAACCCAAGTGGGCAATGAAGAACCAAGAACAGGGTAAAGGGCAAGGTCAAAAGAAGATGAACACAACAGATAATGCAGCACATGTGGCAACCCAAGATACTCAGGTTGCCGGTACTACCCGGGACCACCTTAATAATTCTGACCCCAAGGAAGATATAATTAATTCCTTCAGAGACCACTTGGAGTCATATGGTAGGGCTTTGCGACAGATGGATAGCTCAGTCACTGGTACTCCTACTTCATTTGCATCTACATCAGGTAATATGGCTTTTGCGTTCCATGTCACTCCCACTAGTTCCCCTTGGATCATTGACTCAGGGGCCTCTAACCACACGACCGGTAAGTCGAACTTGTCTTAGACTTATAGCCTTTTCTCAGGAAGGGATAAAGTGAGGCTTGCAGATGGCTCATTCTCCTCCATTGCAGGCCAAGGATCAATATCTCTTCCCCATGGCCTTAACCTGAATTGTGTATTGCATGTCCCTCAACTTCCTATAAATTTGCTTTCAATTAGTAGTATCACAAACTCTTTAAACTGTAGTGTAACCTTTTTTCCTAGTTCATGTGTTTTTCAGGATCTAACTTCTAGGAGGACGATTGGTAGAGGGAGCCTAGTGGATGGTCTCTACATTCTCGACAACAAAGTTGGTCTCTCTGTGTCATCCTCAGAGTCACATAGTCAGTCAAATAAGAATCATTTTTTGTGGCATAGTCGGTTAGGTCATGTTTCTTTTGAAATAGTAAAGTCTTTGTTTCCGGTTTTATTTAAGTCATGTTCAGTGTCAGAGTTCTA